ACACACACACAAGCACAGACACACACACAAGCACAGACACACACACACAAACAGACACACACACACACACAAACAGACACACACACACACACACAGACACACACACAGACACACACACAGACACACACACACACACACACACCCCACCTTCAACCATCACCTGCAACTAAGCCAATTTTGCTAAATTGCCTTGGATTCTGTGAGCTCATAACTTTTAGGATGGTTTGCCATGTGAGACCTTATCAGAAGCCTTACTGCAACCCAGGTAGACAACATCAAGTGCATTATCCTCATCTACACACTTAATCACCTCCTTGGAAACTCCAGTCAGCTTTGTTAGACATGACCTCCCCTTATCAAGCTGTATTGATGACACTTGATTAATCTTTACCTCCAAGTAGAGGTTAATTCTGTCCCTAAGCTTTGTTTCCTGCAGTTTCTCTACCACAGATATCAAAGTCATTGGCCTGTGATCTCTTTCTGCTTCATCTTGAATATCATAATAGCTGCCGTCCAGTCCTCTGGCATCTCTCCTGTGGCTAGAGAGGATTTCAAAGTTAATGTTAAATCTCCTCCTTTGCCTCCCACAGTAGCTTGGGATTCATGTCATCTGGGTCTGGTGATGTATCCATTTTCAAGCCTATTCAAACCACTAGTACCTCCCACCCCCCTTCCCAAATTGCTCAAGTGTGCAAAAATAAAACTTAATGATGTTCATTTTCATAGAATCTCCACAGTGTGGAAGCAGGCCATTTGGCACATTGAGTCCACACTGACCCTCCGAAAAGCAGCTTACCCAGATCCCCACCCCTGTGATTGGCCAGCCCACCGCGGCACCTCCTGCTGTGATTGGCCAGCCCACCGCGGCACCTCCTGCTGTGATTGGCTCACTTGTCCCCTGCACCAATCTCTTGGACATGATCTTCCAAAATGGCAGCTGTAAAACTCTGCTGTGGTTGTAATTCTGTGATCATTGTGTTTAAATGGTGTTTCCCCGCACATTTTGGTGAGAATAGCTCTCCCAATTCTGGGTGTTTAGTGACACTGAGGTAAAGGAGAGCTCAATGGAACGTTGGTATTGTGAGCCTGGAATGATGGGATATCACTGAGGCACAGATGCTAAAGCTGACCTTGGCGTTGCTGTCCTTTCAGTAGTTGCTGGTGAGATTGGAGCACAGTGACTGCGGGATCTCACAGCTTCTATAGTTAAGTTTCCTGTACGGCCATAAGCCCTTAACGTGTGTTTGTTCTGGTGTAGATACTGGATCAGGTGTCAGACGGGATGGCATTTGGAGCGCTGCTGCCCTGTGAGGAATGCAAAGGGCAGTTATTGTTGAAGGGAGATGCCTATTGCTGCAGCGGTAACCTCACTGCCTGGACCAAGTGTAGTGTCAGCACCCAGGCACCTGCTCGCAAGGACTGGGTCACTCCGAAGGTACGTGACTGGCTTCTGCTGGTGGCTTTTCTTGGTTGTGGTTTGTTTGTGCTGTTTTGGTGAAGCTCAGTCGACCTGAGCTGGGACCTGAGCTGGGAGTTCAAGTCCCATCCTGGATTGTGGGCTGGTACTCCACAGCTGTACTTGGTGGGTGCCATTGTGTCAGAGACGCTGTCTTTCAGATAAACCCAGGGACGCCAGCGGCTCACTGCATTTCTAAAGTCCCTGTTTTGAAGGCAAGCAAGGGCGTTAGCCCTCAAACCGACATCACAAAAGCAGATTATATGCATATTTTGCCTCATTGTCCTTGTTTTTCCAAATTTGCTACATTAGGTAAGAAACTCTCATTTCTGTAGCAACCCATCTGACCTTGCTCATGGGCTGAGGAGTGGCAGATGGAGTTTAATATAAATAAATGTGAGGTGCTGCATTTTGGAAAGGCAAATCAGAATAGAACTTGTACAGTTAATGGTTGGGCCCTGGGGATTGTTGCCAAACAGAGATTTCAGGGTACAGGCGCATACTTCTTGAAAGTGGAGTCGCGGGTAGACAGGGTAGTGAAGAAGGCATTTGGCATTCTTGCCTTTATTGGTCAGTGCATTGATTACAGGAGTTGGGAGGTCATGTTGTGGCTGTATAGGACATTGGTTAGGCCACTTTTGGAATACTGTGTTCTGTTCTAGTCCCCCTTCTATAGGAAGGATATTGTGAAACTTGGAAGGGTTCAGAAAAGATTTACAAGAATGTTGCCAGGGTTGGAGGGTATGAGCTATAGGGAGAGGCTGGGGCTTTTTTTTTCCTGGAGTATTTTTCCTGGCTGAGGGGTGACCTTATAAAGGTTTATGAAATCATGAGGGGCGTAGGTAGGGTGAAAAGCCAAGGTCTTTTCCCCAGGGTAGGAGAGTCTAAAACTAGAAGGCATAGGTTTAAGGTGAGAGGGGAAAGATTTAAAAGGGACCTGAGGGCCACCTTTTTCATGCAGAGGATAGTGTGTGTATGGCATGAGCTGCCAAAGGAATTGGTAGAGGCTGGTACAGTTACAACAATTAAAAGGCATCTGGATGGGTACAGAGGGATATGGGCCAGATGGAACTATATCAGGACAGGATATTTGGTTGGCGCAGACGAGTTGGCCTGAAGGATCTGTTTCCATGTTGCACGTGACTCTTATCTAACTTTTCTAAACACATTATTGGCAGTTGGTTGGCAGAGCAGAGTTTGCTACAAAAAAGACATTTTCTCAAGTTTTCACA